TTGATTATTTTTTAATACTCATTTAATAATGATCGTTTGACCAATTTACCCTTTGAACAATTGTTCATACACATATCAATTAATACATTAATTAAATTATTGTTTATTTAATCTCATTTAATAATAACCGTTTGATGATAAAATGAACGATCAAGATCGGTTCACATAGTTTGTACCATATATATATATATATATAGAGAGAGAGAGAGAGAGAGAGAGAGGGAGAGGAAGGTTTCGTGGAAAACCCCAAAAAAAAAACCCGAGAAACACCCTAATAATCGTTTATCTGTAAGAGATGTACATGTGCATGCAAGTAATTAAAGATGTTTTATGGTTTCTTTGCACGTATGTGTAACGGAAAATTTACTTATAAATTTCCTTGTATACACATATGCATACTGTATAAATGAACGATTATTAGAATGTTTTTCAATTTTTCATTTTTTTTATTGTTTTCCCCTAAACCGTAAAATATATATACACACACATACTTTTTGTATGTGTGCCGGTGTGTTTCAAACTGGTCTTTAATTGGACTGATGCTAGCAGTCACCAATAGCCAAAATAACCAAACCAAACAAAACCAAACGAACTCGGTATATCTTTGAAAAAGGTAGGATCTAGAAACGTTTGGATGTAGGCAGACCTTAATCGTGAGAATATATGTACAAACACATAGTTGATGTACAAACTTGATACAATTCAGCTCGTAAAAAGCTTTTTAGGATACAATGGTAGCCTGAAACACATCTCAAGCCCGGGCTATAGCACCTCATATTTCATGTTGATACAAATAACATCAAGAACATAACGCACCAAAGTTATGGATTTTTACCGCATATATTATTGAAGTGACTCGTGTGTGGGGCTTGCTGCAGGAATCGGTATCACCATAGGTGTCGTAGGAGCCATTGCGGGTCCTGGGGCAATAGTGACCTGCAAGTTTCTATGTTGCCCTGCCGGAATCATGAATGCAACATCTGCAGCGGCCAGTGTTTCGGCTTCCTGCTTATATTCAAGGGGTAAAAACAACTACTTGTAAAGAAACGGGATTTTTACCAAATCCTTAAGCTGAACTTAGGTCACCAAAGGGTCATTTGCCCACTGGTAACCCGACACCAGTCTCCCAAAAGCTCAATGGTTCAAATCTCACTAAATGTGAGGAGCTGGTGCAAGTATTTGCAGTATATAAATAGGGATATAAACGAACCGAATATTTAGCGAACCGTTCAGAGAGAAGTTCGTTTATTTAATAAATGAATGAACATGAACGCATTTTTTATATTTTAGTTAGATGAACGAACATGAACAATGGTCGTGTTTGACATTCATTCATTTATGTTTGTTTACGTTCATTTACTTTTCTTTTTACATACAAATCGCGTTTGTTAACCAAAGGACCTTTGGCCTAGCGGTATGTGAGTCATTGGCTTCCTACGAGGTTAAGGGTTCAAACCTCACCAAAGGTGAGGAGGGTCTGTAACTTTATTTGTTCGATTTGGCGTATATAAATATTATATACTTCAAAAAAAATCGCATTTGTTTACCGTGTTCAGTTAAGTGAAGCGAACGACCGAACAGAAACAAGCCTTTTGTTTACAGCCCTATATATAAATTCAAAAAATGTTCAATTTAGGTTGCTACTTGCTTATCCATAAGTTCATGGCATAATTTTTTAACGTAGAGAAAATGGAAACAAAAAATGAATGCATCAAAAATCATTGTTTTTTACCTGTGCTTGCCTGCGATGCTGTAATATACTAATTGCCCAGATCATTATGTAGCAAGGAAGGAGAAACCCGGCTGCCCGAAGTAGGAAAAGCTGCCAATCATATACGAGTCGTCAAGATGTATACTAATAGAGTGGTAGTGGGATACTTAAATCAAACCAACCAATCCGGTATATCTTACTTGAAAGTAGGGATGTATACAGAACCATCCTCTGCCCCCAAAGAGTATAGAGAGGTTGTTTCTAGGGTCTTCGAGTAGAGATGCACTAGGCCCGGGCTTTTTCAGGCTTTGGGCACGGACCTTCCAAGCCTGTTTTCAGTGAGCGAAAAAAGGCCCGGACAGGGATTTGGAGTTGAAAAAGACCCAAACGAGCTTTTTTGGGCTTAACGGGGGTTTTCAGGATTTTCCAAGTTGGGGCTGCCCCCAAAATTCGCCTACTTGGACTTGTCTTCTGCCAAAAGGGTAGAGAAGTTATTTTCCGTAACGACTAGGTTCTATGGGGTAGGATGTACACAGACCTGACCTCTACCTCAAAGGGTAAAGAGGTGGTAGTTGTGATGATTAGGGTCTATGCGCCTAGGGAAGTATCTTTCAACATTATTCATCATATGGGTATCTCAAATACAATTTTTATTTTGGCATATATAAAAATGGTTGCAACTAATTCTACTTACAGCAAAAAACGCAAAAGGATCATCGTCATCACTATCACCATCTCCAATTGTCAGAGCATGCCTCAACAGCAGGAGAGCCATCAACTGCGTCAAATTGTGATGATTAATGTTATATAAGAATTGGTGAGACGGATGAGACAGATTACTAAATTCGGGTAACAATGAGATAACCAACAGGTGATCAAGAACTTGGAGATTCTATGTGGCCCGATATTCTTGAAGTACCAATTTCAGGGTTACATGCACACCAAAGTGATTGTATTTACCAAACTGAAAAACCCAATATATCACATTCGAAAGTAGGGTCAAGGTCGGGGTTGGGGAGGGGTATGCAGTCCTATCATCTGCCCCAAAGGGTAGAAACGCTCCTATTATATATCATGTCCTTGGAAATTGATTGTATTTGGAAAACTTATATGAAATTCCAATTTTATCCGAATTGTCGTCAAAGAGAGAGCAATGGCTTACTATGATAGCAGCTGACCGACAAAACAAAGCCCCGCTGGCACTGTTGTCTTCATACTCATCATAGTCCGTTTCCAAAAGACGGCGTTCAGCTGCCATAGCCAAGACTCGAGGATCATTCAAGTCTAAAGGAGTACCAGCAAGCGTCCAACTTCCACTGTGACAAAAACAGATTATGAGCTGCTTTAAAATAAGTTATTGTAGTAAAAGAAACAGTTATTTTCCATAACATAGAGAGATTACGAAATTATATACATTAGAAGTTTCCGACTAGGGTATCCAAGAAAATAAAAGCTTTTGTTCTTTTTAAATATCAAAATCAACCGCCTGTATTGATGAAAGATAACAACTAAGAAGCAGCAAGAGAATAACATGCCTGATATCGATGATTGCATCTTCCGATTGAGGTGGAGGAGCAGTATAACCAGGATTGTAAGGCTGTGGAATGAATGTTAATTTTATATTGCAAGTTTGATGATGAGTTTAACGGTTGCCATAGACTTACCAAGTGTGTGTGTGTGTACTTGTGTAAAAAAAACTATGATTCAAATAAGTTTAACACAAATATGATATTTGTGGTCAAAGGGTCTTGGACACTAAACTTGTGGTTCTACATCACTTAAGTGGCTTATTTGAGATCTCTAACATATGCAACCAGACCAACGAACCCAATATATCCCACCTGGAGGTGGTGTCTGGGAGGAGTAAGATGTAAGATGTAGGCAGACCTAACCTCTACCCAGTGGTGGATCTAGAAACTCAGGTGACTGGGGTCAGACTTAGGAGTGTCAAAAAATTTCCAAAACCGAATAATCCACCTGAAACAAAAATGGTTTCGGGTATTTGGTTTTCGGGTTAAACGGTTCAGTTTCAGTTATTCTTTTACTATTACTGTTAAACCGAATAGCAAATTATACCATAATTTTATATATTTTATATCTAGATAATTGGTTTGAGGCTTTGAGCATATAAAACAATTAACATATCATAAACCATTTTACATTAAAGCTAAAATAACAAGATATTGAGATGTATTTAATAAAAAAAATACAAAAGAACTAGACATTGAGATGCCTAATTTTGAAATGGATTTAACAAAACCATACACAAGATATTGAGATGAATTTATTTCTTTTGGTTTTGGTAGAAAAAAATCAAATATGTGGGGTCTCGTAAAAATTGAATAGGTTCTTTAAGCATAAAATTGTGTCATTTGTTAAGGGTAAAAAAGTTTCAAGTTAAATCTAGCTTTTTTTAATTTTTAACTGGGGTCAAGAGACCATTGATTTGTACATGGCTCCTGCCACTGCCTCTATCTGAAAGAGTATAGCGGATATTTCCATGAAGGCTCCCGGCTTGTAAAAAGTGTCAGAGAGGAAGTCACATTTGATAAAGTTTTGAAAAGCTGGTTAAAAGTAAGCAATAACATACAAATAAAAGCGTGTACAAGAAAAACATAATCAATTTATGGAAACTACATACTCTTAGTCCAACTTACTAATCCTATCTCCCAATCTCTACCTCCCGCTACGGATCCCCACCCCTAGTCTGCTACTCTAGTCATATGTCTCCAAAACCTCCTATCAGACGTTATGTCAGATGTCCTCTGAAATGCCTAAAGCCGCCCTGTCCAACCTCAGTTGCTCATTCCACAGTCCCCTCGACCTACCCCTCCTCCTCCTTGACAGTCACACTTTCTATCCTCCTCACCGGAGCCGCCATCTGTCTCCTAATAGCGTGACCAAACCACTGCAATCTCCCCTCCATTAATAGCGTGACCAAACCACTGCAATCTCCCCTCCATTAGTAACCACTACAATATATTAATAGTATCCATTTTTGTCCACAATAATCTTTCTTCAATTAGCTTGATGAAGGTAGTTTAGATATTCGGGTAATAGTGGAATACTTGCATTAAACTACATGTCAGTCAAATTATTAGGAGCGAGTATAGCAATTTAGAACGAGTCCCAGGCATTCTGGCTAAGGTGACTTACTTCCAAAAGCCTCGTAACAATTCATCCTCTAGTTTCCTCCCCCATACACACACATAGATCTCATAGTCCCCCATTACAAAGAAATAAAAAGTTTATGCACTTTGACACATTTTCAAATTTAGAGTGTATATAACCACAACTTACGAGTCAATAAGCCAAAAAAATACCGTGATAGCTATTTTGTACACAAGTTTGTTCAAGATATAACAGCTTATAATTTATATTCACAGTAGTCAGACACAGGAGAAGAAAGAGGAGTTGGCAGCAAAAAATAAGAATAAAGTAGGCTATGAGGTACCTGACGACAGATTTCACAAATTACATCTCTTTTCTCATTGCACCATCGCTGAACACATTTCCTATGAGCAAACTGCAGAATACGAGCACTTCAGTATTAGCACAAAATAAAAGGCTTAAATGGGGGCACAAGTCAAGGTTCTCTTTTCTTTATAAAACGAGTGACCGAAGTTGTGCCGTTAGTTTCCCATAACTTCTAGACGCGGCAAACAACTGTTCTGGTAATCTTGTACTTGCAATATATTACTACTCCCGGTTCCTAGCAAGTTTACCATGCATAAAAATGGGTGTGATGAAAAAGTATAGCCTTAATCATTCTTTCTTGTATGATACAATAAGAAATCATCATACCCAACTAAGCTTGGATAATGCCTTTAATAAGACCTACAGGAATCTCTTTACTAATAGGGGGGCTAGTAAGGCATAGAGAGACACAACCACATCGTTAGGAAAAGATTTAGCATACCCAAAGTTGAAATATACTTGTTACCTACCTAGTTTAAGAATATGGGCATCCTAGTGTTCATAACTGTAGTCTGTAAGAATATTTAGAAATGGTCAACTAGGGAAAGAAATGGTCAACTGTACTCCGATGGGGTTCTAACCATTCTAGGGAAAGAAATGGTCCCAAGGCTAACCAACGTGGCCTAGACGGGTACAAATTGTCCCGAGTGTCGAGAGGGGGCAAGACGGACAAGGGGCTAGACGAGTACAGACTCCCCCACAGTGTCAAGTCCCTAGAGTGGTAGACCTTGGCTCTGCTACCGTGTGAGAATATGTGGAACCCATCATGTTACTATCTAAAAGAGCCCTCGAGGAGAGATAAGAGGTTCCAAGATATCTGGGGGAGAAATAATCCGAGTCTAGTTGATGTAGGACTCTAACAGTAACTAACCACTATAACAAGGGAACAACTACATACATAAAGATTTGACATTCACCATGAATAAAAACATAAATATAAACAAACCCCCCTTTAAGTAATAGGAAAATTGCCTTGAGGCTGCCACTGCAAGCACAAGGAACTTCCAGGTTTTTTATACTATCCTCCTCCTGGCAGATGCGGCATTCAACTGACTGAATCAATGGCTCTTCCTCACCAGATGCATCATATTCTCTGTCTTCCTTTCTATCAGTAACAGAAGTAGACAAACCAGCACCATGACTGCAAGAAGCCTTTGGAATCAATACCGGAGCCTCCACCTCCTGTGGTGCCACAAGCTGATCAACATGTAATATTAGGTGATCTTCCATCTGCAAATGCAGACTTTGATCAGCAACGAATATATCCAGTTTGGGCAACAAGATCTATCGCATGACCTCAAAGAAACTCATCCATACCCAAAAAAGTCCATTGTATGCATATCAACAATAGGGTTATTTAGCTAAACGACCGCTAACAAGTTTTTTTAAATCCATGAGCTCCTGACAGGTTTTTAAGCATTTGTGTATGGGAGTGGCATTCTTGCGTGAGAAAATGACATTCTCAAAATTGTCAGACATCATGGCCTTGAAAAAACCTGTTCAAATGTCATGTAACCAAAGGACCCAACCCCAAAAGCCAATAAAGTAGGAAAGTTAGTTCATTCTATAAACCCTAAGAGTTAAAATTGAGGTCAACTGTAGATACATTAACAGGCGGCTGGCTTCGATTAAGCTAAAAGTACTTCCAATAAGCAGCCATACTTCCTAGCTAAGACCATAATACAAAGGCGATTACGAACTGTTTAGAACATAATTTTCAATATACCATATACTATCATAAACTAAAACCATCAAATTGCAATCATCAATGAAGTTGATTGTCAAGTTCTCGTTCACCAAAGCTATGGAAAGAAAATTTCAGAAAAACTTTCTGGGAATTTAGGGAAACCCCACCGCTCAAATTTCTTCTAGTTGTCCAAAATCACGAATACGGGCTATATTGCAGAGAATTAGTCAAGATATAAACATCATGAACACTGATTCAAACCAATTACATACGAAAACCCGACAGGGAAGATCAAAACACGAAAATTCATATTAAAAAAATAAAGGAAATCGAATGGAAACGAATCTTGATTACCTTGGAAGAAGTGACAAAGAGTAGGAGTAAATTTTGTAGGTGAGTTTGGAATTAGTGTTTGCTAGATCAAGTCGTAAGGTTGGTAATGTCACCTCTGGTTCGAAATGGAGGGTGTGAGGAGGGTTCCAAGTAGATATTAATTCGGGGATTAAATACAAGAAAATGGGTATGAAATTACAGGATCAATTTTGGTTGACCAATCAAAGCAAAGCCCCCAATTTCTCAATTTTCAACAAAAAACCAAGATTGTATTAAATAAAGTTGTTTTAACGTTCAGCTTATCAAACAATTACTTAGTAAGTATTTGTCATGTAACATTTTTTATCGTCAAAGCGGGTTGTTAGTAAGTATCTTAAAGTCAGGTAAATGTTTATTGGATAAGATTCGTTTTTTTCACTTACCATGTAAAACTCTCAATCCTTGTTATGGCTCTCACTGGGTAAGATTCTGAGTTTTTTACATACTTAACCAATAAGGTAAATGATTTCAAGTAAATGCTTACACGTTAAGTGTTTATTAAACGGTTTTTTATAATTTAAAAGTCATACATATGTTTTTAAAGTTCAACTGATGCTTAATCGGTAAGACAATGATATGAGAGTTGTAAACTTTAATTTCTTCATGCTCGTTCTAAATTCGAAGTACCAATTAATTGTATAAATAATTATCCACTTCATTACATGATTTCTTTTTCATATAGATAGATATAAGATCTATAAGATTTGGGATTTGTCGGTTAAAAAATATTTTTAAAACTACAAATCTTGCAAATTTTGTGGGTTTGTTGGTGTTTTGTTGGGGCTTGTGGCCCCTATGGCTTATATATGATATGTATTCGTCCCTCAATATAAGTCTACCTTACTGTAAAAAAAAAAATATATGCATACATTAGAATAGCAGTTTTCTTACACCGCAAGAAAATTTACATGGGATACACTATATATATATATTCATTGGATTTTCATCAAATCAAAGCCACCACCACCTGCAGCTAGCAGCTAGCAGCTAGCAGCAGCCCAGACACATGCAAATTCCATTTTTTTTTTTGCGCATCATGCCAACCAATTTTGTAGGGTCAAATTCCTTTTCAATTTTTTTAAAGTACAATTTAATTCCACCAAATTCTATTACGGACGGAAACCAAAAGCTTTTAAAAAATTATAATTTGACGAAAGGGAGTTTGATTACAAGCTGTCGCTAAATGATTTCAAGAGGTGAACCAAAATATATTCAAACTATATATATATAGGTTATAGCAACATGAACTTGTACGATGCAATATTATACTGTCACATTAAACCACATTTAGAAACAAGATCTATATATATAAACTTAAAACAAGTTGTTGCTTGAAGAAGGAAAGCAGTCTAGAAACAACATCGACTTAATCTCTTCATCATTTTCAAGGTCTTCATAACCTCCATGATCAACTGAGGTGGTCGAGCACGAAGAAGACGATTGTCGATAAGCAGTTAATGTGGATGAATTCGTTGTCTTCCTCTTCTTATAGTTCGCTTTAAAACAAGCTTGTCTCAATCTTTTCGTGTTATCTTCTAGTTGTAAATCAGGTATTTCTTCCATCTTCTTCCTTTCTTTCTCCAATAATGCAACCGCTTCTTGTAGCTTCTCTTCGGCTCCATTCCCAGATGATTTCCCTAATTCCTGCTAAAGAAATCCATTTCCCAAACAAGATTACCGATTTTAATTGCAGTTTTATGGTGCCAACGATTAGAGATCTAGATGCATGGTCTTAAAGATCGTTAGTCGAGTGGAAATGATCAAATAAACCAAATATAATCTTTTTGAAACCGCAGAGTATAAAATGGGACCTAATTAACCTGAACATTGGTGATTAGAGTTTGAAGGCTCATTAGTTTGCGATGAGGCCAACGACGAATTCCCAATTCCCGGCACCGTTTCTTTAAGAGCGTTAATCCGACATTAAGCTCTTTTGCAGCTTGAGTTATCGGCATGTAAAAGTACTGCGATATCATCTCTCGGCTTAATGTCATTCGCATAGGATAACTAAAACCACAACCACCTTGATCAACATTGCCACCATGATCACCACCACCCTTGTGGTCAACCTCTTTCAGTGGTTTTCGACACCCGGATGATCTAGCCATCTTCATCTCTTCGTTATCATTCATGTTCTTCATCGCCATTAGACCCGGTTGGCTTTCATGAAGAAACCCTAATGAGTTTGTAGTCATCATGTACATTTCTTGATCTTGAAACCCTAATGAGTTCATCATGGACATTTCTTGATCAGCTGGAAACCCTAATTCACCGTCTCCTCCAACCAAAAAGCCTTCTTCATAAAATGTAGAATCTACACAGAAACACATATAAGATCATAAACCAAGAAACAGATTGAATATTTTCAAATTCATAGAACATGCATTGTATAAGAATCTGTATAATTAATTAACCAACCTGCACGTAAGATGTCCATTGAAGAACAGATTGGATTGTTGTTTGAAATCATGATATCCATCAAAGAAGTAGCGTCATGAAGATGATCTTGTTGAACAGAAAACAGATGATCACTGTAAATGCTGCATCCTGATTGATCTGGGTACCTACTGATCAGTTCAGATTATGATCATCATCATCAATCCAAGAACATGAAATCTATACTTCTCATTGCTGATTCCATGATGAACTGCTAATAAAACAAGATTGAATCTTCTGGATTGAAAAACAAACTTTAGAAGAATTTGATTAAAACAACAAGAAAGAAAGTCTTGATTATATATATATATATATAGATAGATAGATAGATAGATAGATAGATAGATAGATGTGTGTATTACCTTAAATCAAGAGGAGGCAATTGCTGTGGAAATGGGAAAACTTCATCTTCTTTGGGTACGATTTCTTGGTTTGACCACTCAATTTCCCAAGAATCTTGACTTCCCATTTCTCAAGCTTGATTACATTTGTTTCTGAATATATGGATATATTGGAAGTGGAGAAGCCTAATTTTGATTTTAATCAAGTAATTAATGGTTTCTTGATGTTAATATGAAAGTAATTAATCTTCTAATTACTGTTGTGAAGATCATGTGCCGTCTTGTATTCAAGTCTGGATATATAATATATAAAATACAAGTTTTGGCGCCTTAATCAGGGCTAAAATAGTGAATTTGCACATGATAATTGGAAGTTATATATTAATTACATCATAATCGTGATTATGAATTTAATTACTAAAAAAACGTAAGTTATATTTTCATCCCTTTGGGTTTTAAAGATTCACTTAATACCATGTATTAAATTGTTTTATTATATGTATTAAATGTATTCGTTTTCTATATATATATATATATATAGTTAAATTTTATGGTTATTAAGATTTTTTTTAAGTAATGGTTATTAAGATTTAAGAACAGTAAATGAAGCAATTTTCAATTTACTATTTATATTACATTCACCGGAACAAAATTGTTTTATAGTATGCTTAAAATGATTTAACGTTTTAATTGGATATTTTATAGAACTTAAGTTTATGGGACCGAAAAAAAAACCGTCATATCTAAAAGTGTTACAACATGTTAATAAAACGATTTTTTAACGTCTTGACAAGCTTTTATAACATTTTTAAAATAAAGTATCGTATTAATTATTCTATACTTCAGTATTTGAAAAAAAATGTTATATGAGCACAAATGTTCTATAAAAAAAATGGCTTTATAGGGCATTTCTCTAAAATGTCCTATAAAATCAGGTAGTAAAACACTTTGTTTTAAAAACGTAATAAAATACTTGTTGAAACGTCCTCTAAACTTATTGGAACATTTTTAGATATGATGTCTTATAGTTTGATCTTATATATCTAATTTTTCTATAATTTTTTTTTATTAATACGCTTAGAAATTTAGGTGACCTATAAAGCCAATTTTATTATTGTATGTATCAACCAAAAACCCATACATCATTTGTTGCAGTCACTACAAAAATGCAGAGTATCAGCAAGGGATTTTCCTCATTGATCTATTGCTAAATGCTTATTTCGTCGGTGATCGTTCATCAGTCAAAAGCTCGTAGGTAATGTTATCAGCGACAGATCAGCGACGAGTTAGCCAGGGACTTTTAGCAACGGATTTTTCCTTATTAATTTAAAAATAAATAATTTATAATTACATAATTCCTATATTTATTTATACAAAATCTGTCCATAAAATAACAAACCAAAAATTATAAAAAAATTAAAACTAACCAATTCATACAATTTAATGTTCAAATTAATACAATCTAACTACCGGAAGATGAGGGAGGAAAACATATTCTGGCTGCCGTATAACTGCAACAAAATGCTCCGATGAGACGACCTGTTCGGCTAACTAGGCAGCGTGTCTGGCATGTTCGGCCTCCAAATTTGCCCTACTCTTCCGTCTAGCCTCCATCTCGCCCTGATGGCGTTCCTCCCACTGTCGCGCCTCCTCCTCTACCCTTGTAAACTTCTCTCTCAACTCCGCTATCTGTAAATATTCAATATTTGACAAAATCAGTAATTTGTTCGCAATGAAAGTAATGAAAAAGTATATAACAATATAACCAACATACCTCCGTTGTTGAATCATATGATCCTCCGGTGCTACTGTTACATCTACCCGTCATAGCATAAGAGGGATCTTAGGAGGTCTCGAAACCAAAAATCCAGCCCTTCCTCCGTCCTCTGACACTCTGCTCTTAAAGAAATGTCTCATTAGGGGGAGGGGTGTCGGTACTGTACTGTGAATTACCCCTAAGCGATTGAAATCGCTCCTATGGTTCACCAAAACGGGTGAGATTATATATGTAGAAATTTTAGCAGTATAACGGTTATAAATCAAACATATCCAAAGTATGTTGTTTACAATTAAAGCATTCTAAATACCAATGGTAGTCATATTCTCAACCTATTTACTTAGCCTAACGTCTGCCCAACAATGGCAGCCCAAACTAATAGCATCACTATATTTATTAAAATATATTGCCTTAAACCTACCAAACGTATCTATAAACCGAAGTTATGGTTTTAGAAAACTTACATGATACGTAGCAGCTTTGGGGTAACTGAACTGAGAAGGATCAGTAGGCGGGTCGAACGAACCTTGATCGAACTTTTGGTTCGTGCAATGAGTGCACTCAAACACCTCAGTAGCAGTCAGCTCACGACCCAGTACTTATGTTTATATTAGACAGTTAGATTAAGTTGTTAATAAACATAGAAAACAAATTACAAATTCAAAAAAGATTATATACTTACCATCTTATCCCGATGTTGTGCAATACTGATCGATCACCTAGTGTGCCTAGACGACACATATGTTGTGCAAATTGTGTATTCCAATTGGCCTTATTGATCCTGGATTTTCTTTTTCAAGGCTCGGTATCCTAAACTTGTTAAAAACGGAACACATATATAAGTCGTTACAAAACACATGGCAATCCATAATGCTCACAATAGAGATACATATTTGGTCAATCATCTGAAACCAAAACCTCTCTGGGATCCATATAGGGTGGTGTAATCTAATCCGTGAGAAGTCCTCACCGTCTCATTGCTGAGCACCAGGATAGGCTTGTGTCACATCCCATTCGCGTGCAATGCTCATCCAATCTGAGTACCTATTGTGCATGACTTTAGTATATAAATCACGAATCATGTCATCCAGCTCTGGTTCCCATTGGAACTTAGCCTACATACACAATATTTGTATCAGCATAAAAACAATAAACTTATAGATATAATTATGTTAAAGGGGTACACCAACACAAAAGCTCTGGAACATCTAGTCACGGGCTTCCTAAGGGACTTCCTTCTATCTATGCCACAGACCAACAAAGGAATACCTGAATATAGTCGTCATCTCCCGGCTAATATGACATATTTAAACCTGCACAATTAAAAATATGTATACAATACATAAGACATTCATATCATTTTATTATGTAATACAAAGTCTTATATCACATCTACTTATTCGTTGCATAACATAGAAAAATATGGTCGATGGCTCAAATGACTAGGTGTCGACATCTCATGGTTGGGGCCTCCACCTCTTGGTCATCTATATCCTAGACGCCGGTCTCTTTGAACTCCACAATGTCATCGGCGTGTAGGTCGCTATGTCCGCCAATAGAGTTGCTGCCTCTACCAGACATGAGCCTATCTCTACTACCATGACGGCCTTTACCACACTCTTCAGAGTGACATCTCCTGGAAAAAAAAACATTAATTTTATCATGAAAAAGGATAATGAAAAATCGCAATCATATGTACAAATTGTGAAATAAGCATACAACAGACAAGCAACTCATCAGAAGAATGATCAAATAACATTGGTTCATCTTCATCATTTGAATCATCATCTATGAGAATGAGGTGGGATTGTGATGCGGGATGGGAAGGCGAAATCCATGATGAATGAAGAACATTAGATGATATTATAGTGCATAATAACTGCTCTTTATTTTAGAAAACATATGTAATTTTAAAACAGGGTGTTGATTGATAAGAAAATCGGTCTACAAATAATATTGACTTCATCGCTTCTTGTTCTTCACCATCTTTCGTGGCTTCATAACTTCCTAACTCAAAGAGGACAACTATCGATGAACTGTTAATATTAATGTGGATGAATTCGTCGATAATCACATCACCATTAATCTACCTCATTTTATTATAATTCGCTTTAGAATAGGCTTGTCTCAATCTTTTCGTGTTGTCTTTGAGTTGTAAATCGGGAATTTCTTCCTCCTTTTCTCCCATGGTGATATTGCCTCGCTTCCACCATAAGAAATTCATAGAAATGAAGTAGACTAGAATTAGATTAGGACATGTATTTACACTATACCACCAACATTATTAGCCACAACCAAAGGGTCTTTGGCCTAGTGGTATCGTAGTCCTTGGCCTCCTAGGAGGTCAAAGGTTCAAACCTCACTAAAGGTGAGGAGGGTGTGTAGGTTTATTTGTTGCATTTGCCGTATATAAATATTATATACTTCAAAAAAAAACATTATTAGCCACACACTACTAGAAAACAAAGTATCAGTGACGGAAATTAGCGAAGGAAAAAATCCTTCACTGATTAGTGAGGGATTGGCCAAAAACCAGTTCCCTCGTTGATCCCTCATAGATCAGCAAAGGATGAGCGAGTGATTGGTCAATTCCCTTACTGATACTCGCAGATCAGTGAGAGATGATTAGCGAGAGAATTGGTTTTTGGTCATTTCCTCGCAGATCAGCGAGAGATTTTTTTCGTCGCTGATGGTTTGTTTTCTAGTAGCGGTGGCTAATAATGTTGGTGGTATAGCGTACATACATGTCCTAATATAATTCTAGTCTATTTCATTTCTATGAATTTCTTATGGTTGAAGCAAAGCAATATCACCATGGGAGAAAAGGAGGAAGAAATCTCTGATTTACAACTCAAAGACAACACAAAAAGATTGAGACAAGCTTGTTCTAAAGCGAATTACAATAAAAGGAAGTAAATTAATGGTGATGTGATCATCGACGAATTCATCCACATTAACAACTCATCGATAGTCGTCCTCTTTGAGTTACGGAGTTATGAAGCCACGGAAGATGGTGAAGAACAAGAAGCGGTGAAGTCAATATTATCTGTAGACTGATTTTCTTATCGATTAACACCCTATTTTAGAATTATATATGTTTTCTAGAATATAGATCGATTATTATGCACTATAGCACTTGTATAGTATCATCTAATGTTCTTCATTCACGATGGATTACACCTTCCCATCCCGCATCACAATCCCACCTCATTCTCAATTTCTCATACAAATACATTACTAAGACAATCTTTTCATTTACATACTTGAACTAAAACCAAATAAACCCAATAAATTTCATTTAAAAGTTGGGTTTGTAGATATAATGTATGCAATCTTTGTCTTTACCCCAAAAGATATATATTTTCATGAGATCCCCAACAAATTAAAAGACGGACACAAATACTATATGTGAAAGTATATGCAAATAAACAACTGATAAAGTAAACAAAAAAATGGACCAAAGACAAATGTGTTAAAAATAGGCAAAGCAAGCAAGAAAACACAAAATGCAACAACGAAAACTATTAGTATAATAAAAAAAAAAACTTAGACAAACTAATTACATAACAAGAAGTAGGATGTAAACCCCTTATATCCGCACTCTTATTGCACAATCTTTTCCCCTAAAGCATCTCCAAAAAACCATACCAGAAAAAACCATACCAGATGAACATGTAGAACTTTACCTTATAAATGAGAGTGCCTATTCTTACTACAGAAAAACGCTTACCGAATAATCGCTTGGGTAAACTTCCCACACCCATCAAATATTGTCCTTTTTATATGATTTTTGACCAACAATAACGCAATAAAGAGTATAATTTCAATACGTTAGAGGTTCATATGACCTTGATTTATAGTTTTTATATAATAAAAACTATAATAATGTAAAATTAATTTTAGGACGGAGTGAGTAATAAAATTATATTTCCAAATTTTAAATATAAAAAAGCATAAATTTAAATTGCTTAAAATAACAAGAAAATAAAATTATTAAATCTTGGCCATCTCCTTCCTAAGGGCGTTAGCCCTAACCAAGCTCCCAATTGTGTTCACTGCGAGCTTCAAATCCTCCAATGGGTTCCCCGGCGCCACCTTCTTGTACAAATAGCTGTCAAACGTCATCTTCTGCACATACTCATCGGCGCACATCTCCACAAACGCCTCCCTCGCCGGATTCGACCGATAGAACACCTTCTGCAACACATCTAACACCTTGTATGTCGGCCAATAGGTTTTATCCCATTTCTCCAAGTATTTCCTCAAATCCGCCTCCTCCACCATCCGTTTTCCGTTCTCCGATCCCTCAACTATCGACTCCGCACACATCCGCCCACTCTTCGCCGCGAAATAGATCCCTTCGCCGGAACATTTGGTGACGTACCCAGCTGCATCCCCCACAAGCGCCACCCTCTCCGCCAGTCTCCGCGGCCGTGGGTGTTCGGGAATTGGGTGAGCTTCAACCCGAATGATCTTGCCGCCGAGGATCTTGTCACGGGCACGGAGGCGGGTGGCGAGTTGGAATTTTTTAATGTCGGGTTTGTGTGTAACGGTGCCGGTTCCAACCGCCACGTGATCGCATTTTGGGAACACCCAGCCGTAGAAATCCGGCGAGACGTCGTCTCCGACGTACATCTCCGCAAGGTCTTCGTAGTATTGCATTTTATCGGCGGGGATTTTGATGCGTTCCTGAAACGCAATTGCGTACTCGTAATCGCCGGCGTCGATGGATTTTGCGACACGGGAGTTGGCGCCGTCGGCGCCGATTACGGCATCGACTTCGATGCTCACCTTTTTGCCGGCGGATCCTGCTTTGCCGTCGTAAGAGTTGTAGTGGATGACGTAGGGTTTGTACTTCTCCGTGGGTTTGTCCATTTTGACAAAGAGACCGTTGATGATGGTGGCGCCGGCGGCGGAGGCGCGGTCACGGAGGTAAGCATCGAGGATTTCACGGCGGACCATGCCGATATACTCGTGGGGTTTGAGGGTTCGACCGATATCGACGGCAACATTCGACGGAGAGATCATCTTCATCTTGGTCACACGGCGGTCAATGATATCCAACGGCAAGTCAAACTCTCCGACCATGCAGAGCGGAATTGCGCCGCCGCATGGTTTAGCGTTGTCCATTTTCCGCTCGATCAGAATCGTCTCCACTCCGCCTTTCGCTAGGGTTTCCGCGGCTGCGCCACCTGCTGGTCCACCGCCGATGACAGCGACACGGAGGTTTCGTCCAGTGACTTTAGGGCTGGATTTTCCGGCAACAACATTGAGGCGGCGATAATGGATTTGCGTGGATGAAAGGGGTTTAGTGAGAGAGGCGATGGAGGAACGGTGGTTTTCCGTCGATGATTGGCGGAGTCCGACGAAAGATTTGAGGGCGACGGAGGCCATGGTGGTGATTCGCTGAATCGAAGGCGAAGTGAAGGGTGATTTTGTAAGATATCTAAGGATATGGTTTGGGATATCCTGGTGCTTCAGACCGTACGATTTGAGCGTATGAACGGTTAAGATGTCTTGTGGATAATGGTCGGGAATATATACACTTATTTTTCACAAATTGACGTTTTTGACCCTCAGAATTTTATTTGATTTTTGAATTAATGATTTTATTACAAGATATTTTTTTTAATAATTTTGTTACAAATTAAAAAACAAATTATATTCGTCTTCAATAAATTTTTTATTTGTATTTTTAACATAAATTATATCATCAAAATATTAAATAGTTTTAGGTGACATTTGATTCACATAATAAAATCTGTTTAGGTATGGTTATAAATGAGTTGAGTTGATCGGGTTAAAAACATTTGAACAATCAAACTTAAAGTTTACGGTTTAAAAAAATCTCAAACCAACTCGACCCAATCAAAACTACAACCTACCACACCCAAAACCGTATGGGTTAGGTCGGTTTGATCGGTTTAAAACTTTGGTATATTATTTTAGAGTCTAACTACAACTCGTCTAACCTAATCTACTAACAACTCAATTAAACCCAAATCGCTAAACCGCTAATCTGTCAAATCGTCAAGTAAGAAACATGTTTATTTAGAAACGCTAAATATTTTATGGAACCCATGAACCATTTTTTGTGAAAATTCATGATAAATATTATTTGTCGCGAATATTTGTCACGACATTTACCATGAGTATTTTATCACGTTATTTATCATGAATACTAAGAAAAACGGTAGTTCCTAGGTTTTAAAAATATTTAGTGTTCCTAAATGAACTTCCCTCTATATTAATTATGTTCAAAACTTTGTATAATGTGTGTTGTATTATGTAACATCTCAGGACAACCGTACCAGATATTATCTGTTTTATCTACATGCTTGGACTCACGTTTTAAAGTTCGTCTGATAGAGAAGGTATTTTAGTTACTTATAGGGTAACCTTAGTTCTCTTCTCCATGCTCAATTCATCATTATAAAATTTGTAAGATCACATTGATTGGGGATGAGAATTAAGATTGTCTTATAAAGCATTTGATACCTCATGTATCAAATGTGTTTTAAAACCATGAGTCCAAGTGTGTGAAAAAATAGACAATATTTGGTACGATTGTCTTGAGATATTATAAAAAGATAAGGATACTATGTTGTAGACAATTATGGCCAATCTAAAAGAACCTACCATCTACGACATAATCATGATTAAGCTTAAGCTATTCTACATTCTACATCCACGTGAGAATGCTCTTGTACAAGTCACTATAATTTGGATGAGATTGATATGATTTACTAATATAAGAAAAAAAGGTCAATATAATATTTTTAAGTTTAAAAGATATTAAATTTATTTCTTTATAAATGATATATATATATATATATATATATGTATATATATATATATATATATATGGTTGGGTTTTTATGAAACATGATTTTTACACTTAAAACTTCATAACAAAATCTTGTAAAAATAAAAAATAAGCAAATCTTTACAACAAAAACACTCTGAATGTTACTTTTTTTATAGTGTTTTGTTATGAAATTCAAATGTAAAAATCGTAATTTACGCTTATCTTGCATGATTTGAATTTTAGAGAAGGGTAACAAAACAAAATATACACTATATGTAATGTATGAGGAGCGCATGGCATGGGTTTGCTAAGTAGAGAATTTGACACGTGGGCAGAGAAAGTTGTGTGTGTCCATGGCAAAGCCACGTGGTTGTGTGATGAGACGTACAAGTTTTGAATGCGACTCATCTCAACTACCGTACTATTTGTAGTTAAAACCTACATTAATATTACAACTTCTTTATTTATTTCAGTTAATGAGTATGGTTGTTCCACTTCCACTCCAACCTTCACAATTAATGTTTTTTTTATAATCAATTTGCATGGTTCATTGTTTTATAATCAATGTAAAATAAATATATAATTAAAGTAACACTATTTTTTTCATACATTCTATCGATTTTCATAGATATGAAATGAAAAAAAATTGTAAATGATACCAAGTTAAAATAGTGAGACTTGAAAAAGCTTAAGGTGAGGTTTTTGATATGGCAGAGTCATGTAAGTTGTTGATAAGCCGAATGAAAAAGTTGTGAAAAAACCCAACATTATGGATGCAAAGTGTTGGTGTAAGAGTATCCTCATAATATTGAGGTTTTTCACATAGGTTTCAAATTTGATGAATGACAAATGAAATTAAAATACTGACATATGTATTATTTGCGAGTGTCTTGTAGTGGTGGACTCAAGATTTTATCAAGACGGGATACTATTAAGGTTGATCAAAGGTCCGTAAAGTTGTTTGATCGTGTGAAAACTCAACATGGTTTGATCAAGGGGAAAAGTCAATTGTGTCATGATTGGGGAATAAAATACATTGGTCCAGTGAAATTGATCTTTTTGACTATATCTTAGGCATAGGCCTTATATGTTTTTAGTCGAATTCCACAACTTTGAGGCATTTTTTTCAGTTTTTTTTTTTTATTTTGAGGACTTTTTGGTTTTTTAGTTGATTTTGAGTGATTTTTTTTTCGTTTTTCTGGTACAGTCCGAGGGACTTTCTGACTTTTTTAATCATGTCTCTTGTATTTTTTTTTACCATCCCACAGGATCTTCTTGGGTTCTCCAAAGGTCCACCCCTGGCCTGTGATGTTGTGAATTGTTTTTATTATGTTATGTAAATTAGTAGACTGGGACATAAAATTGAAAACAAAATGGTTGTCTCGAGAAGCATGATGTGAAGCCGAAAACAAAATCTTATATACAGAGAATTTGATCATACGCAAAAGGCTATTGGAACACCGCTTAAGTTTTCTATGTTGTATCTATTAGATATAAAAGAAAGAACCATGAACAATGATTAGATGTCCTAAGATTTTTAGTATTCTCAAATCTTGAGTTGCAATGGTTTTGGTTATCATACACCGATATGCCTTTGACATCGAAAGGGTCAATTTGATAGAGGTACAACCCTCTTTCGTTCCTCAAACCAAATCTGAAATCACCATGAGCTCTTTGGTACCCATTTGACATTCTCTCAATATGGACATTGAAGTCACTCCCTATGTAAATGTGTTGGTATCTCGAGAAACCACATAAAATCATTCAAATAGTTCCAAAAATTCGTTTTTTTTTTCTCTGACCTCCCACTCCTCCTTGTGGTGCATAAGAGCATATGACGTTTTTGCACAGAGAACCATGATCTAGTCACTACATCTATTCACTTCCGGTATAGTATGTTGTCTGTGAACTTCAATGCCAGTATGATTCACATGTCATTCCTTAAACTACCCAAACCTAAATGCCACAACTTGTGCTTACCACCCTTCCTAGTATGCTCCTCTTGCATACAAAAAAAGGTCAAATTTTTGTTTCTTCAACACATGAACTATCTTGAAAAGGTTTCCCCTCAAAGTATTTGCCTTCAAACTACCTATTCTTGTTGTTGATGCAAGTGTACAAAATTATTTTGACAAATCATATACCTTTGACATTCTTGTATGTGTGATGATTAAGAGACGACCAACTTGTTTTATTGGCTAATGTTGTAGTTAATGTGTTAGAAAATATTTGCAATTGATGATTATCCAAATAGTGGCCATTTACGTTCAAGCATAAAGAACGAAGATCACATTATCATTACAAGTGCACAATTTCAAGAAATCACGAATCAAAGCTCGAGAAGAGTGCAGTTTCAGAATTTGAAGAAAAATATCTATGTTGTTGCATCTTGCATGCCATGAAGAACGTCTACGGAGAATTATTTTTAGTCAAAACATTATTCAAGATTATGTCTTGAATCAAGATATCGGGGTAGAATAAACGTGATAAATATTCTAAAACAAATGAGAATTCTCTTTTATTATAGTTTTTTACATATAAATGAATTTATAGAGTTCAAGTCTCTTGTTCAAAGTTCAAACGATTTCAAACATTTTGGTGTCAATACTTGACTTCTAATAGAAAACGAGATGGAACTTTTAGAATGTAAGAATTATCGAGATTCGCATCTCAAAAAAGGTTGAGTCATTTCGAGAAGAGTTTTTGAAATTTTCTTTTCAAACTCAGTCTGGACGTCTACAATCTGACAAAATCAGTCTAACTCATGACACTTTCAAAGCGACCAACATATTTCAGAAAACACAAAGTTTTGTGAATCTAGACATTTCAAGGCCCTCTATTTAAAAAAAAAAAAATTAAAGCAAACCTTTTAACAATTTTTTTCTAGCTTATGATATCTCTCAAACTCTAACAACATTATTCATCTTTTGAGAATATTTTTTCAAATACACAGACCCTCGAGATTCAAAATCACGTGTGTTCTCATTATAAGTGATTGATTTGAGAGGTATAAAGGATCCATCTATAGTTTCTACCAAAAATGAAGGGTTCAACCATCCAAAAATCACAACTAGTGGATATACCTGCCTCAGGCTTAGTTTTTCAGATTAATAAGCCACTCCGTATCAACATATTCTTGCCCTTAAACTTCTATTCCCGCATTGTCATTTGGGTGTGAAGAGATTTTTTCAGAACCCTAACCCTATTTTATTATGTCAAGCCTTACACCACATCTAAGGAAACAAAAACATGTAACAAGTTTCGTATAAAAATATTCTTGATGCAACAATTAATATTACACCAAAATGTAACACATAATAGCCCTCCAACAACATAGCATAAATAATGAAACAATGTAGATACAACTGACATAAACGGATGATTAAACCTCATATAGAAACAATCCAAGTACATCAACAATACCCAATATAAACTCAAATAATTCAATAGGAGTGTTAGTTTTGTACCAAACCAACCAACATGTATGTCAACTCTCAAGTATAGCAATTTAATACAATCAATTGGTGGTACGGTACCAAATATGCAAACTTGGTTGATATATAGTAGTACCTTGGTGCTGACTTATTTGATTATCTATTAGTTAAATTATTTATTTCATGGTAAAAGCCGTAAATATTAACCATATAAAGAACTAGAATTATTTCTTTACTTATCAAATGATCATTTTCACATATATATATATATATTTGTTTATTTTAATGAGTTGAAATATTTGTTGGGCAAAATGCATAAAATAACAATCTACTTTCATAAATTTCTTTATTATAGCATTGTAATTTCAATTTTTCTTATTACAACAATGTACTTTACAACAATGTACTTTCAAACTATTTTTTATTAGAACATTGTACTTTGAAAAATTACTCATTATAGCATTGGGTAACCTTTTGATTTAAATTTACTCATTATACCAGGTCTCAATGCCACCTCATTATCCACGTAGGTTGTCCATATGTACTATAGTGATGTGACTTTCTTATTACAACATTGTACTTTAAAATTATTTTATTATAACATCTACTAGTTCTTATTAAACAATGTATTTTTAATTTTAATATTTAAATATTTTACATGCTATTTAATAAATATATTAAATGAATTAAAAAAAGCTAAATTATTCATTAATATACCAATATTAATAAAACTAGTAGAAAACAACTTATTTCGCTAAAAATTTTAAAAAATGTGTTTTTTGAAAGAAAAAAAAAAGAATTGTTCTTTTTTTACCAAAAAAAATATTATCTTTTAAAGAATATATTATATTTGTTCAAAAACTTTTACTTGACGTATAAATATATTAAATTAATTAGATTTTTTTGAATTATTCATCAATATTACAAAATATTAAAAAATTGTAAAACGCAATTCATTTCGTTAACATTTTAGAGAGAACTTTAAATTTTTTTATTTTTTTGAACAACATAAAATAAAAAGTGTTACATTTTTTACAAACAAAATATGTCGAAAATAATGTAGCATATTTATTTAAGAAATATTTTACTCTAGAATATTTAATTTGCATGCAACTTAATTAAAAAAAAAAGTCAAAAAAATTTAAAAAAAATTAAATCATAGTAATGAAAATCACTAATAATAATTTGAAATAGGTTTTTATTTTTATTTTAATTAAGTCATCAAAATGATGTGTCATTCACATCACCTCGTTAAAGCCACCCAAACAAAAAAAGTTGAGAGGTTAACCGGTTTAAAGGTAACAGGTTACCCATTGCTATAATTGGTAGAAATTTTAAAGTGCGATGCCTTAATAAAATATAATTTAAAAGTACATTGTTGTAATAAAGAAAAACAAAAAGAGAATGCTATAATAATTTTTTTATGAAAGTAAGTTGATATTTCATGTATTTAACTCAATATTTATTTCATCAACCCAAAAGCCCAACTGTAGACCCCAATTTACGCTCATGGGCCATGTCAATGAGCTTCAATTGGGCCTTATGAGAGACTTTGGGTTTTTCATCCAAGGCAGCAAAGAGTCTCGTCAGAACTCAAAACCCACCATCAAAGTATACTATATTTTCTTTCTTGAAGATTTTATTAATTCTCTTTGTCTTTGTCTTTGTCTTGTACAAAATTTAATAAAGCATATTTCGATTTTAATGTTTCATTTTATTCCTTGTCTATTTCGATGAGTTAATTTTTGAATAAACTACAGATTTGAAGATATAATATTTAAAAATTTGGAAAAAAAAATAACGATATTAATATTAAATTAACTATTTATAAGTTGTCGTTTTTTTTTGTAATTTATTTTTATTATAATTTAATTTAAGTTTTATAACGAAATAATTTATTTTTGCTTTAATAATATTGTTTTTTATGAAGATAAAATTATGTATTTTGTTAAAACTCAATCTTAATTATATTTTAGATTTTTTATATTTAAAATGAAATGTTTTAGACTAGATTAAGCAACCTCACAACACTCAAATTAATCAGACTCCCTAGCAACTGAAATGTTGTTTTCTACCAAAATAGAATCGAAAAGAATGGCGGATTCACAACTCTATCTAGCAATGACAATTAGGTTACACGTACCAACTTAAATAAATAACCCAACGATGATAAATGATTAAATCAAGGTTTACATAAAATGAAAAGGTTCAACAAGTCTCATCATAATCCAAATCATATATTTACAAACTCATTGATTGAAAAGAAAATTTAACTAAGAAAAGCAAATATTAAACCTAATCTAAGATACCTGATAAAGGGAAGAAAATACCAACAATTGCTTTCCCAAATCGCCTCCTTGCCTCTTTGATTCCAATCGATCCCCTTCAAATAGACGGTTCCTAGCTTCAATTTATACCTCTCTTGATAAAACTGCTCAAAAACAGTCAATAACACGAAGTGGGGGTCACCAGCGACTTGAGCCGCCACTAAACCCCTTGAAAAACTCGCCTGAATAAATTAGAACCGCATACAGTAGCAATTGTGTGTTGTGGGGCAAGTTTACTTACCGGATAAGTCTTATCGTGGTCTTTTCGCTCCAAACGCAGCTACTAAAGATATAAACCCTCGTTTTGACCAAAATTCCATCTCCCTCTTTTTATAAAAAAAACATTTGAATTTTAATGCCTCATCGTTTCGGATTTTGAATTCGTATGCCCAGTTTTGTAATATTTGCAAAATATGCCAAGCTCTATAATATTTTTGAAATATATACTCTGTTTGTATTAAAATCCAATAATTAAAATCAAGGAGGTCTATCAACTATAAAAACATCGTAAAATGAAAGAAATTCATTATAAAAACAGGTTCTAATATGCGTTCATCGGTTTTAATAAGTTTTATTTACTCACAATTTACTTTAAATTTTAAGTAATATGTATCAATAAACAGTATTTTCATAAAAAATTGGTTTCTATGAGTTTTTCAAATGTTTAATGATATATATATAATATAGATAGTTTAGCATACATGTTGGAACAAACTTTTCCTATATCTCAAACATTTCCACATTCATATGTTTTAGTTGGAGGCCATCTTTGAAGACACCCCGATACACATGTATGTATTACACATTAATGTTCGTATATATAAATAAATAGTTTTTTTTATTAAGAATTATAAATCTGTCTTGATAACGATTTATTTCAATTATTTTTTTTTCTTTTGACGGTTGGTATATATAAGTGCCAAAAGTTACGGATAAAGAAAATAATTATACGAAGTTGTAGACGTATATATTGTGTTTAAATATAATGAATTTTGGTCACAAATATATCGATAACAATGCTGGTCGCAATGAATTTTGGTCACAAAGATAACTATAACTTATATGAGCTAGATCAAATTTTCTAAGTCAAATTTCAATACATACACACACACACACATATATATATATATATATATATATATATATACTAGTTGTGTATCCGTGCAATACGGTGGGAGCCATGAATTTTAACGATTTGGAAGTTCCACTGGTTTTATAAGATAAGATTTAACGATAATATATATAGGTTACACTTGGTCTTTACATATTAATACAATTTGAATAAATAAGAGTTATGATTCCAATTACAGACTATCGATGAAAAAAATTGTATGACAGTTTAAAAGTCAATATATTTAAAATCCTACATATTTAAACGACTCCACAAATGTATTTGATTTACACCAAGAGCAAAGAACCAAGAAACTTGAATTTTAAGATAAACACTCAGAACCAATAAAAAAACTACAAATTTGACAGATCATAAGCCATGAAAAGACAAAAAAAAAATGAGTTTTAGAATGAAATTTCAACTGCTTACCATCTTTTTTGTCCAGAAATTCAGATTAAGGTTGAATTAATACATGTATATATATTTCAAAAAAATCCAAAAAGATATTATACAGTGCAATTTGGACAGCCTAACCCCAAAATATATAGTATATATATAAATAAATAACTATAAAAATATAAATCGTAAATATTAAAAATATTTTTTCACAGTATATATAATATATAATAATATAATTAAGTCAAAAACTATTCAATATTGGACTCATTTCGAATGTATTAACGAGACGATTATAATGGTGTAACTTGTTAAAATAAAAATATTTTTTTTAAACATGTTTTAATTGATATACGATTATTTATGTTAATTTGGTAAATGTTTAAAATGAAACATTTAAAAGTAAATGACGTAAAGTAAATTAATTAATTAATTATARGGGTATAAAATGTAAATTTAAAATTATAATTTAAAAAAATTGGTTGTGAGAGGGTGAGCGTATGTGAGGAGAGGAGGAGGTGAAAAAGTGAGTATAAAGGGTATTTTGATCATTTAGAATTTTAAGACTTTAAGACTTTTACTAAATTTGCTTAATAAGATAATATAGATATAGATATAGATATATAGGAGTGATCAAATGAAAACCACTCCAATTTGTAAAAACCGTAAAAACTACTCTCATCCGTCGTTAATCTTATGAAACTTTTTCATGAAATTGTTAATCTTGTGAAATTGTTTCATATAATACTTTTTTGATGAACTTGTTTCATATATGGTTATGAAATTGTTTCATATACTACTTAATGAAATTTTAATGAAACTGTTTGATGTATTTTTCTAAAATTAAAATAATGAAGATGATAATATCCAATATTAACATCCTACACAACAAATAATGATTAATCAACCTCTCATAATTACAAAAAAAATAAACAAAATGAAAAATTATGATTGATGGAATAATGTTTTTACAAATTGAGTGGTTTTGATTTGATCGCTCCCCTATTAATAATTCCATGGAATATATTAATGTGAATTTACAAGTATGCCCTGATAAGGCCGGCCGGTTGGTGAGCATCCGTAAAGTTATGTTGACAAGCAACATAACCAGAATCCCAAGTGGTTGTAGTAGTTACAGTTGGTTTATCAAACTCCATTCTTGACCTATTAATTAATTTCACATGAAAATTGCAATATTATTAAATAAATAAATTGATTTTTTTTAAAACAAGTGAGTAAAGGTAGTCCAACCCCCATGCCAACAATGACTCACCTTTCTAAATCATTTTTCATGTTTAAATTCCAACCTGAAACAAATTACAACATCAAGAAATCTTGAAAATCTTTTAACAAGAAAGATGAAGCTCCTGCTGGTGGTTTTAGCTACCCTTCTTTCGGGTTTCATCCACGGCTATGATTGCAAGATTGTTCAGTTCATCTTCGGGGACTCCTTATCAGATAACGGAAACAACAATCGCCTTACCAAGAGCTTTGCTCAGGCAGCATTGCCTTGGTACGGTATCGATTTTGGTAGCGGAATCCCTAACGGCCGCTTCACCAATGGCCGAACCGTGGCTGATATTATAGGTAATTCAAGTCTTGATACTTGTTTCAGAAATTCAA